TAAGAATCCAACTACATTTCAGAAGCAACATAAAAATAGAAACTCATAAAGTGTTGGTGAATAATAACTCTGAAGAAAAAGCATTACATGGTTTGACATAACTTATTAATAAAGCTCCTCAAGTGCTACAAATAGCCATTATTTATTATCTATTTTCTTGAATTCCCCTGTAACTAGAAGGAAACTTGTTATTTAATATGGTAATAAATCTGAAAAGAGTATTACCTCATTCTTCTTCAAGTAGAAATCTATTTTTAAAAATTATAAGGAAAGGGTTGCATATTATACTTTATTTTTAGGATCCTAGAATTATTCAATTGAAGGACAGATTATAATTGAATTGAGAAAACTTTAGATTTAGTAAAGTTTCTCCTTGGCTAGAGTTAAGGCAGAATATAGATACCGTTTATTTTTAAAAAATCAATTTCTTTGAGTTATATGCATTGACTTCTATATACAAGTTAACATGGTATTTAAGGAAATTCTGAGATGAACACAACCCACTAAAAAGGAATGAAAATTGTGTGGTAAAAGCTGGGTGCACTGGTGCATGCCTGTAATCCAGCAGCCTGGGAGGCTAAGACGGGAAGATTTCGAGTTCAAAGCCAGCCTCAGCAAAATCAAGGTACTAAGCAATTCAGGGAGACCTGTCTCTAAATAAAATACAAAATAGGGCGGGGGATGTAGCTCAGTGGTCGAGTGCCCCTGAACTCAACCCCCAGTACTCGACACAAAAATAAGTAAATAAATGATAAAAAATAAATTGTGTGGTAAAGAAAGCATTAAATTAGAAATCAGGTAACCTGGATTCAAGCCCCTAATCTCAACCATTTACTCTCTGTGCTCAGTGTAATTAATCATCCTTAGACAGATTCTTTACTTCTATAATAAGGATAATAAAAACTATCACCAAAGTTACAGTGAAGACTAATAAATAAGATAATGTATGTTAAACTATTTTGAAAACTCTCGGTTTTAATGATGTCAGATGCAAGTGATTAATCATTCAAAATTTTGACAATCTGAACACCAGGGAAAATGTATCATCATAGTTAATCCAGCAGGCAAGAATATTGCCTGACATTTCAATCACTGATATTCTCAGTACCACACACACAATTCAGAACAAGGCACACTAAACCCAATTGAAATTCTGAAATCTCCAATAGTCAAATTCTATAATAAATTGTGTTCTTGTCTTCAGAAAAGGAAAGATTCTGGAAATGTCATCCTCCAAAACCAGCTGGGAAAAAAAGCAGCTTAAAAATCATACCTAAGATTTGAAAAACTGCTTTTTGAAAATTGTGACTTATAAACAAAAAAAGTTATAATTTTTTAAAAATGCACTATTTTCAAAAAATTTTCACATTCTAAGCTTTGTCATGTTAGCTTGTATTAATGAAGCTATTGGAGTCGATCTGGCACATGTTCTGTCTAAAGTACAAATGTCAAAATTCAGTATTTTCTGTATGTTTTTTGGGTCCTTTCATATTCAAGTCACAAGAAGATAGATCCTTCTAGGACCTTGTGAAAGTCCATTAGTTCCTACAAAATTAGCACCTGAACAACAATTAAAATTGGGGGGAAAAAATTGAAATCAAATTCAAAAGAAAATTAGGACCTGAAAAACAAATGCTGAGGTCCTAATTTTCTTATGAATTTGATCAGCATTTGTTTTTTGGGGACTGGCTAATTTCACTTAGCATTATATTCTCCAGCTCTATTCATTTACCTGCTAATGCCATGATTTTATTCTTTTTAATGTTGAATAAAATTCTATTGTGTATATATAAAAAAAAAAGAAAATTAGGACCTGAATAAAAAATAAAAATGGGAAGCCAGGCACAGTGGCACACACCCCTAATCCCAGCTACTTGGAAAGCTGTGGCAGGTAGATGGCAAATCTTAGGCCAGCCTGAACAACTGAACAAGATCCTGTCTCAAAATTTAAAATAAAAAGGGCTGGGGCTGTATCTCAGTGGTAAAGTGCCCCTGGGTTAAAATCCCAGTCCTGCAAAATAAATAAACAAATATGGAAAAACTAAAGTAGAACTGAAAACAAATTATGAAAACCAGACTTAGCAACATTGTAAGCACGGAGTGATACTTGGGAAAGCCTAGGAAAACTCGAGTTGCTCTCTTCTAATAGTCATAATTATTTGTTTTGAAGTATTCATGCTATTACAAAAGTGGCTCATGATATTAGACTGACAGAAAAATATTTAAATATTTATATTTAATATTAAATATAAAGCCAAACTCTAAATTGGGTCATCTAGGGGATTAATATTTTTCAAGTTTCAACTCAAACAGTTGATTCAATGAATTGCCTTGGAGTTTCCTTTGCTACTAACATTGGATGCAACTGTTCTCAAAATTCAGTATAATTACCCAAGGATGTGTGTGTGTGTGTGTGTGTGTGTGTGTGTGTGTGTGTGAGAGAGAGAGAGAGAGAGAGAGAGAGAGAGAGAGAGAGAGAGAGAGAGAGATCACAAGCATACATGTGCTGCAGATTTAACCCAGGGCTTCACACATGATAGTTAAAACTCTGCCTCTGACCTACAGCCTCAGCCTTTCCTTTTTAAAGTACACATTCAGATTCAATAGGTCTGGGGTAGTGCCTAATACTCCACATTTCTCAGAGGTCATGGTAAAACTGCTGGCCCAGGGGCTGGGGATGTGGCTCAGTGGGTACGGTGCTCACCTAGCATGCATGAGGCACTGGGTTCAATCCTCAGCACCACATAAATGTAAAATAAAGATATTGTGTCCACCAAAAACTAAAAAATAAATATTAAAAAAAAACTACTGGTCTATGTGGACATACCTCTGAAAGAAAGTACATTAGCACACAATGCCAATAGCAAAATGATACTTATTGATTAATGTTAAGATTTTACAATAATAAACATATGTTTCACTATGTGTGCCCTCAAAATTTACTCATGCAAGGATATTCTCCCATGTCTAAATCACAGAACTCTCAACTTTAGACCTTGCTTAGCACTTGAATAGACCCAGGGCTAATCCAAACAATGTTCTGTCCTAAATCTGATGCCCCAGTGCATGCAAAGTTGGGTGGCCCTCAACTAACCTTCAAATACAAATTAAACTCTGACTAGCATTGGCACTGCCTATGTTCCGGGTGTAAAGAACATATTGATCTTCTTTCAGTCAACAGCAGAGTGCCTTCCTGTCAGACACCAGCTATCCATCTCAATGGGAAATTATCTGTCTGATGATTCCTGTCCAAAACCCACTGGAGACAACTGATATTCTACAGGGAAAATCTAAGTAAGTAGCCTTCATATATTTTTTTAGCAATGAAATCCTCCTGTTGAATAAAATTCTGCACTCAACTCCAATATGTAAAGTAGCATTTTGTTTGGTAAGAATTTATTTTGATTCACATTTATAGAAAATAAAGTTGTTCGGATAAATTCTCCAAAAACTTTTAACTGGTGGTTATAGTTGTCAGCTGTAGCCCCATGAGGCTTAGCATCTAATTTGTTTTTGTATTTGTGTTTTAGTTGCACAATACTGAGACCATCCTAAATCTCACAGGAAATTCATCTCAAATGGTAGCAGTTTTGTAACATCTCATCCTTGGATTCATGTGTGTCCTTGGAATTCTAAAACAGCTGTCAGTAAAATATTTTTTAACAGCTGTCTTTTCAATAGTGGTTTAAAATATTTTCAAAAATATTTTTGACCAAATTTAAACAAAACATTTGTAGAGCCCCTCACCTGTTCCTATCCACAGAAACTAGTTTGTAACACTAATCTAGGGAAACAATTAGCTCCTCCTTGTGATGGACTTTGCTTATGTTTCTCTGTCTCAAGTCACTTCCTCAGAAAGCCATAGCTTGGAACACATCGTTCTGTAAAATAACATTGGTATAAGTCATCTTTTTAACCAAACCATTTTTGTTGTTGTTGTTGTTATTGTTGTTTTAGTTTGTTCTACGTAGTTATACATGACAATAGAATGCATTTTGACTCATTGTACGCAAATGGAGCACAACTTCTCATTCCTCTGGCTGTACATGGAGCAGAGTCACACCAGTAGTGTAATCATACATGTATGTTGGGTAATAATGTTGGTTTCATCCCACTGTCCTTCCCATCCCTGTACGCTCTCCCCTCCTCTCACTCCCCTCTGAACAATCCAAAATTCCTTCATTCTTCTCGATCCTGCCCCCCATTATGGATGAGCATCCACATATCAGAGAAAACGTTTGGCCTCTGGTTTTCTGGGTTTTGGCTTATTTTACCTAGCATAATATTCTGCAGCTCCATCCATTTACCTGCAAATGCCATAATTTCATTCTTCTTTAAGGCTGAGTAATATGCCATTATGTATGTGTACCACATTTTCTTTATTCATTCACCTTTAACCAAACTATTTTAACCAAAGGATGATATTAAAAATGCTATATGTAGGCCAAGCACAGTGACCCATGCCTGTAACCCCAGGAGGCTAAGACAGGAGGATTGTAAGTCTGAAACTACCTCTGCAATTTAGTGAGACCTTGTATCAAAATAAAAACCAAAAAAGGACTGGGAAAATAGCTCTGTGTTAAAACGTCCCTGGACTCAATTCCCAGTACAAGAAAAAAAAAAAAACCTATATGTAAAATGTATTTTTATAAATTTATATTAAAAATGCAATTTTAATGTAGACATTTCAACAAGTAAAATATTGCTTATAATAAATTCTTTTCCAATATTGAAACCACAAGCAAAGTCTAGTTTATAATCTTGTATGTCTTTCAATACTGCCATAAAAAATATTTTAACACTTATTTCCTTTAGCTTTTTAAAGTCTTGAATGATTTAAATAAAATTTTTAAATATGTTCTTTTGCTTAGAATGGGGTTATAACCTGATAAATCCATCATAAATTGAAAATATCTTAGTCAAAAATTTTATTTAATATACCTAATCTACCCAAAATCGCAGCTTAGCAACACAGTATGCCGAAAGGGTAGCTTGTTTACCTTCATGACGGTGTGACTGACAACAGCTGCAGCTCACTGCCTCTGCACAACATCACAAGGAGTGTCATATCAAATATCACTCTGCAGGCAGAAGATCAAAATTCAAATTTCTAAATATGGCTTCTACTGAAAGCCTACCACCCTTCCAATCTAATTTGGGTATGCATATGTATGACATGCTTTAATAGTATAGGTGTTAAACAAGGTCATCATTTGTTAGGATACAAACTAAGACCACACAAACCCCCAAATGAGTTCTACAAACAAGATAGAAATATCTCTTACACACTTTCCAGGCCTTAACTCAGGGTTCACCCACATATCATTGGCCAGGACTTGATGTCATGACCATTGTAATAAGCAAGACTAAAAAATTCTACTAATTGGGTAGATAAATGCAGATAAGACTTAGGACTGGTATTTCTAAATGCAGAAAAGAGAAAGTAATCATTGAAAAAACAATTAGCAATTTCTACAATAAGGTTTTATCTCCTTTCCACCAAATTCCCCATTTGTGCCCTAAAATAACATTTATAGATGGTTTGACTAAGCAAAGACCTATTGTAGGACCCAGAATTGCTTTAAACTTGAATCCTTGTGTTGGTTTAATAATCATCTCAATGGGTGATGAGTGGTTTTTTTTTTCTTGTTTTAGTTTATTTCTAATATCATTATCAACTCAACTTTGTAATTATTGGATGTGTTTTAACATACTATAATTATTTTCTTTCTTTCTTTCTTTGTTTTGCACAGTATCAGGGTTTGAATCCAGGGGTACTTTACTCATGAGCTACATCCCCAGCTCCCCCACCCTTTTTTTTTTTTTTTTAATTTTGACACAGGGCCTCACTAAATTGCAGAGGCTGGCCTCAGACTTGCAATCCTCCTGCCTCAGCATTCCAAGGCCCTGGAATGACAAGTGTTCGTTATCACACAAAACTCAATATTATATTTGAAGCTCGAAAATGATCACATTGATGAAACTTTGACCAGTGGAAAACTCTACAGGCTGGCTCCTGTGTCCTTATTTTAAATTGTAGTAAAATACATGTAACATGAAATTTATCACCAGGCATGGTGGAACATGCCTATAATCCCAGTGACTAGGGAAGCTGAGGAAAGAAGATGTCAAATTCAAGGCCAACCTTAGCAATTTAGTGAGACCCTGAGTCGCCCCCCCCCCAGAAAAAAAATTGAAAAGGGCTGGGATATAGCTCAGAGGTAAAGTGCCCCTTGGTTCAATCCCCAGTATTAAAACTAAATAAAATAAAATTTATTATTTTAACCACTTTTTTTAAGAGTACTATTCCCCTTGAAGTGCAGCTATCACCTCCATTCATCTACTGTCTAGAATTCTATGTCCTTTTAAGACAACCTCATTATTCCTTGAAAGAGTCCTTACATATCAAATGTCTGAGGTTTACCACTTACTTCTTGGCCATAATCTGAATCATCCATTTCCCTGAGAAGCCCCAATTTAAAAAAAAAAAAAAAAACTACATTGTCCCCATAATGCTATAAAACAAATTACAAAACTCCAGGAGCTTAAAATGATTAGCATTTATTGCTGACACATTTAGTCACCCAGGGGTAGCGAGGGGGTTGTGCTGCTCTTGGCCAAGCACTCACATGTTGGGGGGTTGGATGGCTCTCTGGTGACTCAGGATTGCTTTGGCTGGGAACTAGAGTAACTCAGTTCTGCTCCACTTTTCTTAACATCCCACTAGCGAGCCTGAGTATTTTCTTATGGCTGAGGCATAAGATCAAGGAAGCTTATTTGTGCAACTATGTTATTATATTGTGGCAAAATATGTGTAAGAGAAAAGTCAACTTTTCAACTATTTCAAAGCATAGAACTCACTGGCATTTAGAAATATCACAGTGTTGATAATCCTCACCATTATCTCATTCCAAAACATTTCCGTCAACCCAAAAGAAAACTGCGTAACCATGAAGCAGTCACTCCACATTTCCCTCTCTTCCTCGGTCCCTGATAATCATCAACCTGCTTTTTGTCTTTATGTTTCCAGTTGTGGATATTTCATGTAAATGGAACTATGTAATCTGTGGGCCTTTGCATCTGATGTATCTTGGCATAATGCCTTCAAGGTCCATCCATGTTGTAGTATATATCAGTATGTCTTGTTATTCCCGGGGACTGAACCCAAGGGCACTTTACCACTGAACTACATCCCTGGTCCTTTTTATTTTTATTTCAAAATAGGGTCTTGCTAAGTTGCTGAAGCTGGCATCAAACTTGACATCCTCCTAACTTGGCCTTCCAAGTCACTGCAATTACAGGCATGTGTCCCCATGCCCAGCTATTATTTCATTCCTTATTATGGCTGAATAATTTTCTATTGTATGGATATACCACATTTTGCATTATCTACTCATCAGTTCATAGACTTTTGGGTTTTTCCACCTTCTGGCTATTGTAAATAATATTGCTACAAACATTTACATACAAGTTTTTGTTTAATACCTGCTTTTCAGTTATTTTGGTTGTATATATCAAGGCATGGAATTGCTAAGTCATAAGGTCATTTTGTTTTTTAACATTTTAAGGAATTGACCAACTGTTTTCCACAGTAGTTGCACTATTTTACATTCTCACCATCAGTGAGGGTTCCAGTTTCTCTACATCCTTGCCAACATGATGTATATGTGAAGTGGTAACTTTTTGTGCTTTCGTTTGGCATTTTGCTAATGACTAGTGTTGAGCATCTTTTCATGTGTTCATGGGGCATGTGTATAACTTTTATTGGTAAATATATATTCAAGTCTTTGCACATTTTTTTAAATTGGGTTCTTAGTCTTTTGTTGTTGTTGTTGTTAAGTTGCAAAAAATCTTTATATATCCTAGATAAATCAGACACACAACTTTCAAAAATTTTTTATGAAATCTGAGTTATTTTTTCTTTGCTGTTTGTACTTCTGCTATCATATCTAAGATGGTACATTGTAAATTTGATGAGGGATGTGTATCAGTCCCTGATAATCATCAACCTGTTTTTCAAAGAAGGTTGTGTATCATGCACCTATAATTCCAGCTACTTGGAAAGCTGAAGCAGAGGATCATTTGAGCCCATGAGTTTGAGACCAATTTTGGCAACACAGCAAGACCCTGTTTCATGCCGCGCACACACACACACACACATACTAGAGTAACTCAGTATATATTACCATATATATATATATGGTAATAGTAAGTAAAATACACTAGGACTACACTTGCTATTCCACTCATGGAACACTTACAGAGTCTATTTCCAGGCAACTTGCTTTGACCAAGGTGGTACAAGTGATATTGTGCTGTTTTATAGCTTAGCCCTCAAGACACACTACTAGAAGAGAGAGGCCTGTAAAAGAAGACAGAGTCGCCCCAATCAACAGTCAACACCGAAGCCCCAGACATGTGGCAGATGGTTTTTTGGACCTTGCAAGCTAGAACTTCTTTGAAGTAGACAACTCACTTGAGGAAGCCCCGCCAACACCAGGTAGAGCAGAAAACCATACAGACACTCCACAAAACCACATGAAATTGTTTCTAAGAAGTGGAAAACAATATCTGCAAGGTCCACCACTGAGAGAGTGACCTTAAATGAGTGTGCTGCCTACCTGTGTGTTGACGGAAGTTTTAGAAAAGGAAAGTCATATGAGATTCCTAAAGAAATGGCCAATATTCCTTGATCTTTTGAACTTTCTACAGTCCTACATGTGAAAGGGAGGAAAGATACAGGGGGAAAAAAAGTTTTCCCAATAATGTATTTGGTTCATTTAACTTTTTTTTTTTAAAAAAGTAATCTTCACAATTTGAAACTACTTTTAAAAATTAACATATCACAGGGTATTGTGGTGCACATCTGTAGACCCAGCAACTTGGGAGACTGAGGCAGATCACAAATTCTGGGCCAGGCTCAGCAACTTAGTGAAACCCTACCTCAAAATAAAAACTAAAAAGAACAAGGGATGTTGCTCAGTGGTAAAGTGCCCCTGGGTTAAATCCCAAATACCACCAAAAAAAAAAAAAAGTTATAAACAAATTTCTCTCAAATGAAAAAGAGTTAAAAAAAAACTTTAAATTGAATCAAAAGTACAGTCAAATATGGAATTCACAGGAGCTAGAGATTAAAATGAATTAGTAAAATTGCAACTTTATGAAAGTCTTTTTATAAGACTTCTCCAAGGCATACAATGAAAAAAGTAATAGAAATGTCCAACAAGGTTTTCAGGAAGTGCTATTTAAAACTGTTAGTATTAAACTTTTCAGGTTCTAACATACCAAGTTATTTTGGCTTATATGGAGCAATCTAAAAGCATGAATGTGCCTAAAGAATATAAAAAATTATAGTTTGGAAGACCTACACACACTAAAAAAAAAAAAGGAAAAAAATGAACCATTGCAAGGTTCCCCAATAGAATTTTATTTGAAAGTTAATGTCACTTCAAAATCATTTCTCTGCATGACTGAAAAAGCTGCTCTTCGTGTTAATATCCTTCAAAGCATTGTTTTAAGTGCTATTTGCCTGTGCTAAGACAGATAATTAATATTAAACCTCAGTAAAGTATTATGTTTCAGTTGTACAGATCAGTTACTTACAGTGTCAGCCAGAAAGGGAAAAGGGGTTATTGAAATCTAATGAAAAACTTCAGTGCTTAATAACAATAAGGTTATTCAAAAACGTTCTTGGTAGGCCAACAAATTGAAAGATCCTGGTAGGGACTTTTATTTAGATTTTAAATTACTTTCCAACTCTAGGCTTAAGAAGAAATAGAATCAATCTCCAAAGTTTCAAACTTTTCATAAAATATCAGTGAATATTTTCATACAGTATAAGGATTCCTCATTCCATAAAATGCATTTTCAAAAAATCAAGGAAACAACAAGCAAATTCTTTAAAACATCTTAGAAGAAAGTGGGTATGTACAATTGTTTCCTGGCAGAGAGTTCACTGATAATTTCTTGTGCCAAATATCTCAAAGATCTCCAGAAAAGAAACCCTAGAGGTCATTATCTGCCTTGATATCAACCTATTATTGTTAGATCTCTTCAGTAACAACTCTCTCCAAATCCAAAGAAAAATACAAAGCCAAAAAATAATAAAACCTTTTGATGTGATGTCAGTTTCTTCAATAGTTTGTCATCAAGTAAACATAATTTGAATTACTTTTATTATAGAAAATTTAAGAGTATTATGAATGCCCAAACTGTACCAAAATTGCATTGATTTTAACAAATTTATCAAGATTTTATCAACTGATAAGTAAAGAAGAATGAAAGTCAAAGTTTAGTATTTAAATAATAATTTCTCTATGAATAGATTTGCTTCCTCAAAAACTATAAAGTAGGTAAAGCACAGTAGCACACACTGTAATCCCAGCAGCTCAGGAGGCTGAGGCAGGAGGATCAAAAGTTCAAAGCCAGCCTCAGCAAGTTAGCAAAGCCCTAAGCAACTTAGCAAGACCTTGTCTCTAAATAAAAAATTAAATTAAAAAGGACCAGGGATGTGACTTAGTGATTAAATGGCTCTGGGTTGAATCCCTGATACCAAAAAAATAAAAATAAAAAAGCTATCAAGTATCTCAATGTTATTGGCCTAAGAAATTAATTTGTGAATGCTTTTATAAGTCTTTCTGAGAAAAATAAGAAAGAAAGGGAGACATTATCATTTTTAAATAAATGATATCCAAGTACATCAAAATATTTTCCCATAAATTTCAAACAGATTGAAGTGGCATGCAATCTCCAAAATACACAAGCTTTATTCTTATTGCTATTGACTATGCCAACACTGATACTTTCCATCAAATATTATATATCAAGGATATTATAAATCTACTTTTTAAAATCATTCTTCCTAATATGAAAGAAAAAGTTCTTGTTTTCAAATAAAATAAGACATTTATTTATAAACACCAAAGGATTTTCATTTCTACATTAGTCAATCTAAAAAGGCTATGGATGAGTGCCAAAGACTGAATATCATCTAATAGTCATTCCTTGAACAGTTTGGAATAATAAAAGAACCCAGCCTTTGGAGTCAATAAGTCTGGGCTAGAATCTTAGCTACTTAATGACTGCATGACCTGGGACAAGAATGATTAACCTCCCTGTGTTCAGTTTTGTTGTCTTTGTTTTTTGATTTTTTTAATCTTTAAAATGAGGTAACACTACTACCAATTTCATAAGATTCTTATTTGGATTAGGTAAAATCATGAAAGCAAAGACCCTTTGCACAGTACCTTCCACTCAATAAATGGTAATTATTCATTGCACAATTTCTCTTTAACTCAAGACCACTGATTCCTGTTGCTTTTCTGCTTAGAGTATTAACAACTATTGTTACACCTCTGCCCAGATCTAAAGTCTATTTATACTCCAGATGTAAGCACACTTTCACCTTTCACCCTGCACTTTACCCAACTCAAAAGTCACACAAACACACTAATGCAAACTCAAAGCTTAAAAGTTAAAGAGTTCAGAAATTAGGAGCATAATTCTAAGAATGACTGCCACATACAGTAGTTCTCTCTCTCTCTCTCTCTCTCTCTCTCTCTCTCACACACACACACACACACACACACACAAATCAAGAAACATTAAATACATATTTTTTCTTAATGTTCATCTAAAGATAAAATACATAAGCTCAGCATGCAAACTTTAAAATTTGCACAAACGTTCATAATTTAGCTTTCTCACATGGAAGAAAATTTATTAAAAGTTTTAAAAGTATTGGGATTTTCCATCGACCTCCATTCAAAACTCAATGACTATAAAAACAATATATTTCCTTTTAGCATCCATATGGTCATGATACTCTGAAGACTTACACACACACACACACACACACACACAAGCTAGATCTCAGAAAAGGAAACTTTAAAGGTATTTTGAGGCTCCAAGTAAGCAAAGGAATTCTCTGAGGAGCACTTCCTTTGATTAAAAAATAATACCAAGCAGAAACTAAAGCACTGAGTCAAAATTAGCAAGCAAACACCCAGGGGAAAATGCCAATATTAGCACTATAGCATGACAATAAATTTTGTACCAGTGGCATCATTCAGAAACTAAAGTTCTCTATAAGGAGAATGAGAAGGAGGAGGAGGGGGGGGTGAGAAGAGGAGGAGAAGGAGAAGGAGGAGGAGGAGGAGGAGGGTGAGAAGAGGAGGAGAAGGAGAAGAAGAAAGAGGAGGAGGAGAAGGATCTAGAAGTTGGTTACCATGGTTCTGGTCAGCAATGCCCCAGACTCCCAAAACAAATTCTCTCTGGAAGCAAGCATTCCTGGTATGTTCCCTGAAATCCCAATGTTTGAAAATAATATAAGAATATAATTAATATGATTACAAAATATAGAGGCAAAGAAGCTACCATAATTGAAATCCAGCAAACACCACAGATAACAGATTTAAACCACCAAGGACTTCAAATCCTTGGATAAGTAGGTAACATAATATAAAACAACTGTGCACGCAATGTTAAAGTTAATAGCAGGATGAACTATAAAAATAAGCAAATAACAAAGACTATCAAAAATGCTCAAGCTGAAGCCAGGTGCAGAGCTACACACCTATAATTCTAGCAACCAAGGTTGAAGCAGGAGGATCGCCAATTCAAGACCAGCCTCAGCAACTTGGCAAGACCCTAAGCAACTTAGTGAGACCCTGTCTCAAAATAAAAAGACCTGGGGATGTGACACAGTGGTAAAGTGCATCTGGACTCAATCCCCAGTATCAAAAAAAAAAAAGACCAAGCAGATTTAGAAAAGAACCAAATAGAGCATCTAAATATGAAAAACATAATTACTTAAATCAAAAAATGAATTGATGGATTAAATAACAGATCTGATATAGCTGAAATAGTAACTAGTAAACTAGAATACAGAGATGAAGAAAATAACCACAGATGTCAAATTAGGACTACATAAACCTACATGTATGTCTCAGAGTCCCAGAGAAACAGAATAGAGAGGCAATATTCAAAAATCTAATGGATGTGAATTTTCAAAAATTGATTAAAAGACATGATTACATGGATAACACGAATCAAAAAGAGATTTTTTTAAAACAATTTTGTTGCCAGTCTTATTGAGGTACAATTAACATACAGTAAGATTTGCCAGGTTTTTTTTTTTTTTTGTGTGTGTGTGTGTGTGTGTACGTGGTGCTGGAGATTGAACCCAGAGGCCTTGTGCATGCAAGGCAAGCACTCTACCAACTGAGCTAAATCCCCAGCCCACAGAGGGGTCTTAGAAAAGAAAAGAAAGACAACTACAGAGGAACAACAAACAGAATGGCAACAGACTTCCCAAAAGAAACAAAGGAAGCCAAAAGACAATAGTAGAGTAATATCTTCAAAGTAGTCAGAGAAAATAATAAAACTCAGGAAAATTGCTTTCTAAGAATAAGAACTCAAAAATTTACATTTGCAAGTAGACTCAAACCAAAAGAGTTTCGCCTCAATGGACCTTCACCGAAAGAATTCCTGCAAGATGTACTTCAGGAGGAAGAGCAATTATCCTTAGGTGAGGACCTGAAATATAAGAAGGAAAGAATAGATAATTTGGGAGATACATATGTTGCAAGGGACAGACAAGGCAAGACACCAAATAGGAACAAGAAGCAAGTTTATTTAGCTATAGTCAGGTTCAGGGGGCAAAGTTTTCACTGTAATCAATTAATCCCCTGAATACCGACCAAGGTAGTTTCAGAATTTTATACCCAGTGTTTAAGAGAATGGCTCAAAGTTTACAGTCTGCAGAAGTTCACATAAAAGCAGCTTTTTCTTTTACTGTTCTGAGCAAGTTAACTCTTCAAGGACAACACCTGAGAAGGGGAGAGCTTCTTCTCCCCTTTCTTCCCTCCCCTTGACAGCTGTTACCATGGAGCTCAAGTGGTAATTTCTCTTATCTTAGAAATGTAGACATCTCTATGAAGCTTCAGCTCCAGGCCAGAGGCCTTGTTAAAGGATCTTTTTTTTAATCACACTTTGCATTTGCCAACACACTTCTACAAACTACTATACTGAATAAATGTTTGTGAAAAATTAATAAGGAGTTGTTCAGCACCTGGAGTGCTGATCTCTTCTAGGTCAGTGGTCAAGTAAAATAGAGCAACAGGAAAATAGAAGTTTAACTACACTGAACTCTTTTGTAGAGATTCTTTTGCTGGTAGTCCTAAAATCAATTATGGTGATGATTTCTGGAGAAGCTTAATTAAGATTTTCTGTGGAGGAGGGAGTGCCACTACATATAGGAATTCTAAATAAAACAATGTCTAATATAAAATAATTTTTGAAGGCCCAGATTTCAATATCAGACCAGTTAACATAATTTTGGAGGGCTGATCTGCATAAATCATGGTAGTGATTTTTATTTTAAAAGGACCAAACTAAAAGACAACTATTATTATTTAGAAATTGTCAGAATTAAAGTATTCATTTGGGAAAAATGGTTAGGAATTTAACTTTTTACTTTGTTTTTGTTTTTTTGTTTGGGCTTAGGTTTTTTTTTGGGGGGGGGTTGTTTGTTTTGTTTTGCTTTGTTGGTTTTAGTTTTGTTTTTTTTTAAGCCATCCAAAAGAGGATTTATTAGGACACATGCTATAGCATAATGGAAAAAAATACATGGACTGCTCCTTAGCTCTGGATTTCCTTAAGTACATATGGTAAGATTTCCAGGGTGACCTTAAAATGATAGAAATAAAATACACAAGTTTTATGCTGATTGAAGGAAGAAAACAAATTATTTAAATTTGGGGGGAGTACATTAAATAAAAGAAAGAAAAGAAAGAAAGAATAGTAACTGAAGCAGTCAAAAGAGAGCAAAAGTAGGATAAAAGTCACATATTCATGCATATCATTGGTCAGAGTACTGTAAGTAGATTATTATTGCCTAATAAAAAACAAAAAAGAACAAATTCAATCTATTTAAAAATTCAGCATGTGCACCAAGTACATATTTACCAAAAGAAAATTTAGAGTGGTGAAAGAGTTTAAGACAAAAAGTATTATTGTGGAAAAAGACATTTGCAAAGTGTTAAGTTTGCATCAACTTAAAAAATTAAAAGAATTCCAAACTTACATGAAATTCATCTAATTGCCCCCAGCATATGAAACAAAAATGACAGAGTTACAAAGAAAAATTAACAATCATGATGGAGGATTTCAAAATATCTCTTTAATAAACAAAATACCTCTATTAATAAACAGAAAAATATACTTTTAATTAATGGTTTAATTAATATTGATTAATTCATTATAAGGTACTATTTTCTACTTCAAAGAAAAGTCAACTATAGTACCCTCAGAGCATCACCTTCAGAAAAGGATAAATCTTGGGACTTTACTATGTAGAAACAAATTTAAGATCTCTTTGACTAATTATGAGACTATTCTGGGACTTTTTAATGACAATTTCCTATATTGTCATGGTTTCATAGCAGTGGATATTCTTTTACTTTGAGGAAAAGGAAACAGTTGAATATAAACTACACAAGCTTTATGTAGGGTATTTTAGCAAAATGTGTAAAAAAAATCTTAAAGGCTATATCATTTGACTCAAGAAATCTATATTTATAGAATATATCCTGAGGACATAGCATAAACACAAGAACAATCATCATATGTTAGTGCACACAAGTGTACAGGAACACATACCTACACAAACATAGACAACGGACAGAATGAAGACTGATTCTCTCTGGTTTTGAAGTTGTAAGTGATTTCTATCCTCTCTTTCTATGCAGTATTTTCTAAAATATGGGTAATAAAAAATGAGGTTACTTTTTAATTTAATAAAAATATATCTGTACCTTAACAGTGACCTAAAATAAAATCCCAAGAGCTGGAAAAGGTTTTCAGTTTCTACCAGATTTCATTTTTAAAGTAGGTTAAGCTCATAATAAAAATCACACTTAAAGACTCCTTTCAAGTTATTTCAGGACTCACTTTCTCTGCTATGTTGAAATTTGCATTTATTTATGTTAATATGTAAATGTGCCACTCAGTTGTTCCAAAGCACAATCTAGATCTAAAATTTCTCAAAGTCAATGGGTAGGTCGCATATCTTCAATTTTTCCTCCACAGCATTTTGAACATTGCAAGCATTCAACAAATACATACCACATATACTCTATTGGTAGTTCACTCCTCCAAGTCCCACATTTTCCTTTAGTTCATTAAATAATACCTATTCCTCAAATGCACTGTTTTCCATAAGCCCTTAAAGCACCCTCTGTTAGAGACACTGAAATTCATGGATTAGCATCTGATAGTATGTTCTTAGAAAAATTGTCATATTAGCTGGGATGGTGCAGCATAAATATTTTTCTTAGGGTGTTTTTGGTAGACACAGAAGCTTACTCATCTATCTTTAGTGCATTTCTGAAGAATAAAACTTAAAAATCACCAACCTAAAGTGTCATATGTTCTTATAGTTTGAGCATTAAAATGTTAAGAATGAAGAGATCTTAGACTTTTTTTCTGCTCTTTAATATGTAAATCTCAGCTAACAGCAATCGTTTATAAGCATCTGTTGCTGTTAATATTTCAACTTCTTCATGCTGAGATCTTTGAAATCTATCTACTTTTCAGAACTGCTTTCTCACTGTCAACCTTACTAATTACTGAGTAATAATTCTTCTACCTGGGAATTGTACAGGCAGGGAGGAAACAATAGATTTTGAAAACAAACTATTAAAATATTTTCTTATTATGAAACCTGTTTCTAAAAGGATCAGGAGAGAGTAAAATCAATGAATTTTCTATTTTCTTTTACACAGCACATACCACCTGGATGTGGTTTCTCATCTTGTTTCACAACCCACAATGTACATGTCTAGTCAGTGGAAGCTCTGTGGTTAGGTCAGCTCCACAGAAGACAAAAAAGTCATGATCCTTTGATGAATTAAAGATAAAATACTTTACAAGCCAAAGAAAAAAGGCAGTATAAGAGAAATGGAATATTGTAGTAATAAGACACCCTTCTTTGCTGTGCCGCCTTCTCACACCTGAATTAGATGATAATGATGTCTTGTAACCTTAAGTAGTAAATAATCCATACACATCCCTCTTATTTATTTCTTCTTGCCTTGTTGAAACAACAGTAGCTTTAGTTCAACCCTCTGTGACTTATGTTAGCCTTCTCTGGATTTTCACTATATAAACCTAAAGAATACACAGCCACTTTGGCATCCATACTTCCTGGGCCCAAGATAACTTCTTTCATCCATCAGAGTCCTCCATTAATTGGTGAAAAAAAAATAATTAGCATGTCCATTTCATAACTTTTCTTACTTATAAACTTATCACATACACATACACACACACACACACACACACACACACACATACACACACTGTCTGGCATGATAACTGCTCAATAGAATTTTTGGCATGAATGAATGATATCTAATATATGTCAGCAGCACCCCATAACACATCATTTCACTGAGTGCAGAAGGTACAAAGGACACTATTCTTGCTTTCCACAGTCTGAGGAGAGTGGAAGAAATGGAGCACAATGGCTGAGGCAAAGAGGCGTCTCAATAGGCCACTTATACAACTCTGTTGAAGTTCTCACAGAGGTGAAGCTTGAGCTATGACTTGAAAAATGAGAAAGTTCTCTAATCAGAAGGAATCAGGACATCCCAGGCAGAGAGAACAACACGTGCAAAAGTAATGAAGCTAAGGTACAACCACCTTGGAAAACTGTTTGGCAGTTTCATATATAATGAAGCATACATTCCATCTACAACCTAGCAAGTCTACCTCTAGCTACTCCTCTAAAAGAAATGGAAAGATAGGCCCACAAAAATGACAAATAAGAAATTTTATGTCTACTTCATTCACAAACAGTGAAAACAACCCCCCTCCCCCCAAAAAGTAATAAAATGAGTGGATTAAGCAACATTCATAAAATGGAAACTACTTCACAGTAAAGAGGAATCATCTTCTGATTCACTCAATAACATGGGTAAATTTCAAAAAAATATGTTAAGCTAAAGAGGCTGAAGATATAGGTGTACATATTGTATGAGTCCATTTACACGAAGCTCAAGAAGAGGCTAACTTAACTGATGCTGATAGGGACAGTAGTATTACGAGAGATGGGGGGACAGTGTGAGGAGGACACAGAGGAAATTTCTGGTGATAGAAATGTCTAAAGCTTGATTAGGTCAATATTATAGAGGCGTATGGATTTATGAAATCTTACCGAATTAACTTAAGATGAGTGCTTTCCACTGTCTGTAAATTTTTCCTCAATAGAAATAACAAGCTAAAAACATTCCTAGGCAATATTGAAACAAACAACAAAGAGAGACCTGAGGGATGAAACAGTGAGGTAGTGTTGGAGACCAAGCACGCCACCCTAAAGTATGCCTCTTTGACATATGGATTATCTCCAGCTCATTATTTTGATGAATAATAGACACTCAGAAAACAGAGAAGTTACATTTTTGCAAGAGAAATTTACATCTATAAAAGAAATCTCATTTGTAAGGGTATCTCCCTCTGAATCAAGAAGAGAAAAATGATTCAAAGTTACCAGACTCTTCTCAGTGGAGAAGGTGCTAAATCTGCATAACAAAACCTTATGTTTGTTTATAGGGCTTCCTCTGGTCGCCTCTCCAAAACCATTCCCACCAATGCTGCTCTGTTGTTTTAGCTGAAGATGGTCTTTCAGCCTGAATTCTCTACTCCTCCAAGAATTACTTATTTTTCCCCAAGTCCCTCCCACATATACATGAGGTGTGCATGCTAATAAACTTGCATTCTTGCTTTTTGTATTTTGATTTTCCCTTGTTAATCTGTCTTTTGCCAGTCTGTCAACCTAAGATGGTTAAAGGGAAAGATGCTTTTTCCCGCCCCTGCAATGAAAAACTGCAAAGTAATTTAGCAGGGGTGGAACAGTTTTTGAGCAAGGGAAGCAGGTGGAGGTGAGCTTGGGAAGACAGCAGTGTGAAACTAGAATGGAAATATTTTAACTTTGTGGATAAAGAAAATTGGAACCTAAGTTAAAGGCAAGCCTGAGAAGTTAAACGTTATGTGAACAACCAGAGATGCTCAGAGAGGTTTGGAGACCTATCTCCTTGAGTGTTTACATATCAAAGGCAGATAAAACCCCAAGACTTGGAACTTGATAGTAAAGTTTCTCTCCCTGTCTCAAGAGGTAAAGGGCAATAATGTAGCCAATATAAACTTCCAGATTCATAGTTTCAGGGTTCCTTTCCTACAGTGTGGACTCCTCCACCTCATCCACCTCCAGCAACACACAGGGTAGCATCTGACTCTCAATGCAACACCTGTGATTTTTTTGAGCGGGAGGAACCAGTGCAGTTATTGCTATAAGTAATAATAACTTTAATCTCTGCCACCGAAATCTCACATTTCCTTTCAAGATAAATACAAATAAGACATGAAAATAATGTCAAAGAGGAGTGAGATCATAAGAAATTTTTCTAAGTGTGTAGATTTATGCCATTGCCAATAGGAATGCATTGATGGTTATTGCATATCAAGATCACTTGGGCAGCATTGTGGAGAACAGATCCAAGACAGTAAACACTAAAGGCAACAAGATGATCTAGAAGGCAAATGCAATGGTCCGGGTAGGAATTGATGGGGTAAACACTAACTAGTAAAGGAGAAAAGGCAGAGGAGATCAGGATGAGCAATGTTATGAAAGTAGGTCTGAAAGGATATAAACTCCTACTGGTTGTGGGAACAGAGAAGGAATTATGATACCCCTAGTGCCTGGTTGGAGGTCATTAAATAGATCTTAGAAAAGCACCTGACATCAACTCCTGGCATTTCCCTGAATCACACTATGCCTTTGTACTTGCTGGTTTGTAATGTCCTTCCCTTCAGCCACTGGAAAACTTGTCCTCATCTTCCACTAGGAAGACTCAAGACATATCTGGATCCACAAGTAAAGTAGGAGCCTGATATTGGTCACCGGCACAGCAAAGATACCACAGTCCTGAGCATCATCCCACTTCGACATCTATATCTTCAGAATGTGATTATGTTTCCTACCTGACATCCCCACCAGACTCTAATCCCATGGGTAGACTACCTTGTTCCCAAAGTTTCTCCAGTACAGAATTAGGGGGGGGGTGCTGGCACAGAGATGGAACTATATAAATATTTGTTATTCAATTAACAAACACTGCAGTATGTGACAGTTATAAGAAATCAAGAACCAGAACATGTTGAACATGTTAGCTCATTTCCCAGCTTCCTACAGCATTCCAAGGACATGCTGTCCTGGATAAATTTAAGCAAATCATTTGAGCCTCTCTTCTTTATTTCTCATTTTTAATGTAATAAAATATAAACCTTCTAATGCTTTAATAAAAATGAAATAAGAATGAGCCTGAAGCACATGAGTATTTTAAGACATGGAATTCATTGATCTGTTGCTCTCTGTAAGGACCTGTTTGGTGCCTGAAAACTCTAAAGATACTTGATAGGGAAATAGGCATCTCCTTGATGCCACCGTATGGATTTCTGATTTTCTTGGTGCCTTTATTTCTGGCATGGTGATATTAAAAAGACAAAGGAGAAAAGCACACACAGTATACCATAAGTATGAGTTTTACTTTTTTCTCTTCATCCACATTTTTATACTTTATTACTCTACACTAATTTTTATTTACAGGTATGTCTAAGCAAACTGATGCATTTTTCACAGCCTCGTGAAAGTCACAAACATGGTCGATTTCCTCAAATTAATGGGCACTGAAATTCATGACACAATTAAAAATGGTGCTTATACTGCATAGAAAATAAAACCATGGCAGGGGGGGAAATGTTTCATCCTCTTCTCAGGTAAGTCATCAGATATAAAATATACACTTGGTCCACATCTCATCACCCCGAGTAATGATTTCAGTAAATAAGGGAAGAGATAAAAACTGTATGAAAGAATATATGAAATGAAGAGGCCCATTATTCTAAGTACAGAAGTGATATAGAAACCAGGATTACAGAAGTAGAGGGCATTATATTTGCTCCCCATTGAGCATCTGCTATTAGCTGTTAATAAAGACAAAAATACTGACCTTCATTCAGTGCTAAAGAGCAGGGCCCAGCATAGGAGTTATTCAGAGAGTGGCGCTGCATTCCAACGATGTCAAGAATTGTAACTTGAAGCAAGTTTCAAGTCTGGAACATAAATATAAAAGAGGCCATGGATCTGCATCCCTGCTTTCTTCAAGTGCATTATAAGAATTTCATTAAAACTCATATTCAACTAACAATAGACAAACCAGGACTGCCAAAGCAAGACTAGGTTACACATCAGAATTCTAGTTTTACTTCATTTGGGAAGAAGGGTGGCTCCAGAAAGCTAGTCCCTAGAACAGAAAAATGCCTGAGGAAAGAGACAGGGAAAACAGAGGCAGAGAATGTGCACATGGGAAGGCTTATGTCAAAGATGGTACAGTCCAGCCGTGATGTCCATAACTTCATAAGCCCCAAGTCATAGACACACCCAGCTTCCAGGGCCCCACATTTACTGAGTACTTACTCTCTACCAGGACCTTTATGAGAAGGTTTCACTTGTTTTAGTTCATTTAAACTTCCTGCCAAACTGTAATTCCTTCTTATCTCCATTTACTAATAAGGCATATAAGACCAGAGTTAAATGGATCCAATGTCACATGGTAAGGAAATATTAGAGCTGAGCTTTAACCCTGGTCTTTTTCCCTCCATGAGCAATATAACACACAATACCACAGTAGCATCATTCCAACATGTCATGAAATTCAAAAGGCTTTGCCCAGAACATAGAAGGGGGTGGAATGGAAAGAGAAACAGTGACTGAAAGGGAGACCAGGGGCAGGAGGAAGAGTAGCGTCCTGTCATATTGGTTATGTTCTCAGCCTGCACCTGTGTGCTGGTTACGTGGTTGTGTTCTCTTTGCTAAACTTCAACAAGCTGGTTATGCTTGGCATATACAATTTTCTATATGCATGTTCCACTTAAATACAAAGTTTTAAAATGGTTGGGAGGGGACTTTGCCAAGAGTAAGAGATTTGCTCCTTATCCCAGCTCCCCGATTCTCCCTTTCCTCTTTCTCACAGGCACAAGACATGAGCCTGCATACCCTTTCCCTGTAAAACTTTTGAGAGAGAGAGAGAGGAGAGAGAGAGAGAGAGAGAGAGAGAGAGAGAGAGAGAGAGAGAGAGAGAGAGACTATTTTTAGCCAAATCTTGCTATCCATTATAAAACTAACTTTATTTTTGAAAACAAGCTTCATCATACTCATAAAGAGATACAGAATGTTAGAAAACATGCTAGATGAGAACTAGGAGACCTTACCTCTAGCCTGGCTACCAACAGCCTGAAAGCTCTGAACCTCAATTTATTCATCTATCAATGAAATAGAGTTTGAATCTGATACCCTCTTACTGTCCATTTCCCACGCATATTCTTCAGGATGTGTGTACAAGAAAATTCATAGTGACAGTTTTAGTCAGGTTTCTCACTGCTGTGACCAAAAGACTTGACAAGAACAATTTTAGAGGAGGAAAAGTTTATTTGATGCTCACAGTTTCAGAGGCCTCAGTCCACCTCATGGAGAGGTGGCCGTCTCCATTCCTCAGGGCCTGGGATGAGACAGAACGTCATGGCAGAGGAAAGCAGCTGGGAACATGGTGCTGGGAAGCAGAGAGAGAGAGCTCTGCTCAACAAGAACAAGAACAACAACAAAAATCCAAAGGCATACTCCCAGGCACTCACCTCCTCCAGCCACAACCTACCTGCCCTCAGTGACCAACTACTTAATCCCTATCAGGAGATTAATGCACTGATTAGATTAAGACTCGTAACCCAATCACTTCATCTCTGAACCTTCTTGCATTGTCTCACACATGAGCTTCTAGGGGGACACCTAATAACTAAATCATAATCATGACATTGTTTATAACAGAAAAAAAAAAGAGTGGGTGGTCGCCATTGACAATAGTAGAAGAATGGATATTAAACTGTGGTATAAGCCATGAAATAAAAGACTCTACACAGAACAAGTGAATTATGATTATACATAGTCACTGGACGGATGTCAGAAGCATAGCACTAAATAAGAAAGGTCAGTGACCAAAATTAATATTTTGATACTACTTATATGAAGTTAAAAGGAAGCAAAAGTGAAATACCATTGTTTTGGGATCATGCAGGCCTGGTAGAACTACAAAGAACACCAAGTAAATGATAAATACAAAATTCAGGACACTGGTGATTTCTGAAGGGAGGTGAAGTAATGGGGAAAAAGAAACTTACATGTTGTTACATAGTCTTTTATGTGTTAAATAACTCACAAATTTTGAAAGATTATTTATCTTTTTCTAGGAAGATGCTAGGGAGGTGAATACATAATCCTAAAAACACCAAAAATGGTTACTCTGATCTTTAGCTGCTCTAGTAACAGGACTGTTCCCTGTGGGAAAAAGATGGAATCAAAATTGTCTCTAAAGGAATGTATTATCCTCAGCTTTGAGCTAGCAGCGTGTAACCAAAGCCCCAAAAAATGAACCAAATAAATATAATAGAAAACAGACAAGGAAATAAAATTCAACTCTTCTTTGGAAGAAATTATTGACTTATCCTACTAGTATCAGTTTTATACCAAGCACTGTTGAAGATTTGGGATACTCAGGAATGAAGACAGCAGAGCTCCACCCTCAGGCAGTTTATCTTCCAGTGGGAGAGACGAACTATCAATCAATCAAATATTAAAAACTGCATAATTTCTGATAGTGGAGAGAACACTAAACAGGTATTTTATAGAGGGTCTTCACATTTGGCCTCAGCTAATGAAAGTATACATTTTTCCTTATTACTTTCTTACATTTTTTGGGGGGGGGGAGACTTAGGCTTACATTTTTCTATATTAAAAGTAAGTTTTGGGGGGCTAGGGATGTACCTCAGGGGTAGAGGAGTTGCCAAACACACACAAGGTCCTGGGTATGATCCCCAGCACTGAAAAATAAAAAATAAAAATAAAAGTAATTTCTCTTTAAAAGGTACTAGTTTCCATGATCAGAAAGACCCATAAAGGCCAAATGGATGATGCAATGATTTTCTTGATGTGTAGCTCCACTAGACTATAATCTTCAGTTATTAAGTCAAACACTAATCTAGGTGTTTGTAGAAAGGTATTTTTATAGATGCGGTTGAAGTCTACAAGCAGTTGACTTTAAGAAAGGGAGATGATCCTAGATAATGTGGGCATGAGTCGGTCAGATAAAAGGCCTTAAAAGCAGAATCAAGGCTATCATAAAGAAGAAATTCCACTTGTCAACAGCATTTCAGTCTTTGCCCTTCCTGTCAACCCTATGGATTTCAAACTCAACCAGCCAAGCTCCACATTGCAAAAGCCAATTTCTTGTGACAAATCTCCTACTGATTCTGTTTCTCTGAATAAGGTCAAACCCTGTTTAACACAGATGGATTTAAGATGCATAATCTTTGATTTCCATCATCACAGATCCTGAGTCTAGATGTACTCTTGGTTCTGTTTCTTCAACAAATGAAACACGACTTGGGGGTTGGGAGGACAGGTGGTACAGTGTGTTTGAGTGTCTCCTGCGTAACCAGTATATCCACATGCATTGTCTCCTCTCACCTTTCCAAATTCCATGAAAGGTCAGCATCAGTATCCCCACTGTCCTCCAAGAGACTGACAACTACAGAATCGTGTGATGTACACAAGGTCACACTGCTAATATGCAACCCATCGAGGTTGAACTGCAGATCCTCATGAGCCCAAAGGTAGAGCTTCACATGCTGCCTTTCTAGGAAGATAAACATTTATATTCTTGTAGGTTTATACTGTAAAGTTTGAACTGAAACAGTATTGTGGCAATGGAGAGTAAAGGGTAAATCAGCAAATAATCCAATTTAGTTAAAGGATTGGGAAAAATCAGAAGGATAATCAAATTTTTCCTTAGGCATTGACAGAAACATAAAATTCAATTTTTATAACAGACTGTGGAATTTCTCAGAGGGATGCTGAAATAGATGCCTAAATGACCTACAGGGTTCATTTAAGTATCTCCATTATAGGATTTGGGCTTCGATTGAAAGGGGGGAAAAAAGGGTGATTCACATTAAATCAAACAAATCAGAGTCTGAAATGTAACCGTGTGCCAATCTGCTACTTAATGGCTTATCCAGAAATACCTCACAGTTACCTTTCTATCCTCATAGTCTCTTCCTTTAAGAAATTCACCTTGATTATTCTGTGTCTTTAAAGTGCTGAAATTGAACAGTCAAAAATCCCAGTTCCATTTAAGCTTGCTTCCCTTGGAGCCCAGGGCAACCTGTTACTTAAATATAACAGATGAATTTCACTGTATTTCAATGATTTGGGTGACATTTCCTTGACATTCACAATATGTCTATAAATTAGAAGTGCTATAGTTTTAACACAAAATGAATAAAATGATCAAAAGAATCCTCCAGTTACTGCCTACCCCTGGAGGAGGGAGGCCAACCTGATTGCTATTCTCTGCATACATCAAGCTGTACACAGAAGCAAGAGGAAAGTGCTAATAAATTGCCTTTTCTCATTATATTTTGGTTTACTTTTACGTTTTGTAATCCATGTAATTACTCACTGTCTTCTGTAGTAGCTTATTACAGAAAATGTTGATTAATCCATTGAAACCCTCAATTTACCATAATTTAGAAACCAGAAATTGTTTTCTAGATGTTAAGACTACAGACAGGCAAACAAAAACATAACAACCTAGTTCAGGGTTTCTTTGTGTTTTTATCGTCATCTTCTTCCTCTTTTTTTTTTTTAATTTTTAAACTTTTTTTTAGCATATTGTCTCCCAGTAGAGGACATATAAACCGAATCTAAGAATAGTCATACATAATAATCATACTAGACAGCATCAGACTCCGGGGAGATGGCTCTTCTCCATGCTCTTGAAGGGAAATACCCTTCCTTTCTTAGGGCATACAGTGGCCCATGCACTCTCTGGTCTAACTATAAATAGATATATAAGGTGATAAATATCACAGCTAACACCTGCCTGGAACATACTGTGTACTAGAACGTGACCTAAACACTTTAGGAATACTACCAGCAGCCCTACAAGGCAGATATTAATATTATCTCCATTTTACCAGGAGAAAATTGAGACACAAATACATTTAGTTCTTACAATCATACAGCTAGCAAATAATCAGCCAGGATTCAATCCCGGGTAGTTCTGCTTTTCAGTAGAACATGTCTCTTTTCCTATTACATTATAAATTATTTTGCAAATCCTGTATCATTTTACTTGCATTTCTTATTTTATTTTTTTATTTTTAAAGGGACCACTTTGCTGAGTCATGTCTTCATCCCCTTTTCATGCTTTATTTTGAGATAGGGTCTTGCTAAGTTGCTCAGCTAATCTCAAACTTGTGATCCTCCTGCCTCAACCTCCAGAGTCGCTGGACTGACAGGTGTGCATCACTGTGACTGCCTAAATTCTGTAACATTTTAGCAATTGCAAGACCCCACCCATATTAAATATTTAAAGATTGAATATTATATTGAGAATAAAATAAAATATTATATAAACTTGACAAAGCTATGGAGTGTGCTTGAAAACAGATTGCAGAGACCAATTACAAGATACAGAACATGAAATAGCTAGTAACCGCCAGCAACGCTCCCCTCTGTGAAGATCCACTGGAGAATACAAAGAAAACAACTGCTCCCACCTTCAACAGGCATAGAGTTCACAGCTTTTACAATAATAGGAAAAAAGCTAAATTAATAAAATGGGGTGGGCTGGGGTTGTGGCTCAGTGGTAGAGCACTTGCCTAGCACGTGTGAGGCACTGGGATCAATTCTCAGCACTAGATAGATAGATAGATAGATAGATAGATAGATAGATAGATAGATAGATAGATAGACAGACAGATAGATTCATAAATGTATTGTATCCATCCACAAATAAAAATATTTAAAATAAATAAATAAAATGGGGTGACATATTTCTAAAACTTCATGACAACAAAAATTCTATTAAAAGGGGTATTCTACTTAGCCATCTAATAACTATATAATTTAGTTCCCAAACACTCAATTCCAGAAGCATTGCAGTGAATCACGGTTGGTACTAAATCTACTTAGCTTTTGCATGTTGGATATGACAGTTGCAGTGTTTGCTTTGATTGCTGACGTATAGAGGCATCTGTAGATTCCTTATGCCTTTGTGAGTTAATGTCACAACGCTATCTTGTCACTTACATTTTGGAATTCTTATCTGCTACTTCAAGTTAAGGAGGAAAAGCCTGAAATGTGTGTTTTTAAAATACATCCAGGACAACACTTCTATTTTGGAACTCTTCACTGGTTAAATAAAAAACCCTCCAACAGCTGCTAGATAGGAGAGGAATACCAATCATTTCAGAAGCTGAGAGACTTCAGCTTTTGAAAAATAAGCCCATTCAAAGCCAGCGAGGGCTGTGATACTCCAAATGAAATGGTAAAGCTAGGCTGCATTTCTTGTCATCGCTAAGACTGAATGTAGAGAGCACCTGGAAGTATGTAATTTTCCTTGAATGTTATTATGGAGTGCCTTCATTTTTTGAGGAAAAGATTTCTTCTTGCTTATATAGTATCTGTAGTCTCATTTTTGTGCAATGCCCTCTCAAGTTCCCTGGAATGATTATAAAGTTGTACCT